TCCCCTCATCCAGGTCATCAATAAAGATGTTTCACTTCTATTAAAAGGATCCACAAAGTCCACTATGGCACCTCCAGCTAAGGTATTCAGTAATGCAAAATCACAGGACAGTTACCACTTGCAAGGACTTTTCAAAACCCTTCAGCCAAGCTTCTTAGCCATCTAATACAACCAGTTGACTTCCACACACACCATATGGGGTGCTGCCAGGAACTTAACTGACAGTAGAAACCAGGTTTACAGGTGTTTGCAACTTCTTGTTTCCTGGGCCCAGAACAACCACCACCCTTGCAGGATCCAGCTGCAGAGCCTTTGCTCAGGGTGGATTTCTACAACTTCTTTGAATATGTGATATCCAATGGAGTAAGCGACAAAACACAAAGCAGTTGTTAAATCAAGGAATAATTCAAGGATGATGAAAGGACCAGTGAATCCTGGTATTTTCTAACAAGGAACAGCATGTTTTGGTTTTAAAGCCTGGTGTTGCACTAACCCTGTGTGAGTTATGTGCCCTTAAGGGAACACTCTACATACAAAAAACCAAAGTTAGCCCAAAATCTTAACAGTAACCAAATAGTCTCTAGTCCTATCACAATATTAAAAGTCCATTATTGTAGAGGAAGTCTAACTTCTAACATAATATGACTAGCATATTCAAGAGGTGGCGTCCCTGCCCATGACAGGGAGGTTGAATTAAATGATCTCTAAGGTCCCTTCCAATCTAGGCCATTCTATGATTCTATGATGATTCTATGTACTCATACACTCCCTTGTATCTATGCCCTTCTCTAGTGTCGCACACACCCTTCCACTGCCCCTTGGGGTCCTGGGATTAACAGCACGTGGTCCAGGTCCCACGTCATTAATCAGGAGTAGTAGAATGCTGATGGTGGGGATTGTTCTTTCTTTTCTCTAGAGCCCACCTGGACAATATATATTTCCAAAAACGTTCTATTCACTGTTCTTTCTTCATGGGTCTGGCAATTTCACATTACAGCCAATTTTATATATATACATATATATATATATTGTGGTTTACTCATGCTGCATATTTGTTTTTTCTTCTCTTATCCCTAAAGACTTGTTTTGCACAACTCTCTATGTTGCATTTCTTAAAGGATCAGCACTTGGCAATGGACTTCTTTATATCCAGGGGCCTCTGGCACCTAAGATCATAGATTTATTCATTCTATGCAAAATACCTACTTATTACTTACTAACCATTAGCTACAGAAATATACCAAAATCATTATAAACATAGTCAGTACACCACATAATTTTACAAAGCTAGGCTGCCATTTGACAATTGCTGTTATGGTTAAAACTAAGTTTCAGGTAGGGCAAGATAAGACCAGAAAAATCAAGCTCAGCAAGTCTTCATGCTAAGGTTTTGCAGAGTTAATACAAGTTAGTAGCAATGACAATATTGTGTTTATGTGGTTACAGGGCTATGCTGGTAGCTAAGTCACTCTCCAGGGAGAGGAAAATGTTGTCTTGAAACTTCTTAGGCATCAGATACAATAAAATTCAAGTCTTTCAAACTCCCAGGAGAACATTCTAGCAGCATGACATAAAATACCAGCTCTACTCAGAACTTCCACCCACCGCACGGTGGCCACTGCTCAACTGAATGCCTTTAGTGTTTTAAGCGACTTGGGCTTTGGGGGAATGGGTAGAATTTATGTGACCCAAACCTGCATTCAGACAGTGGTTGAGCTCAGCAGGACACAGGATGCTCCAGCCATGCTCAGGCATTAAGGACTCTTTAAAAGGAATATACACTAATAAGTTTTTAGCTTCTTTGAGATGAGTCAGTTGGTAGAGCATCAGCTTTTTGGATTATCTTCTTACATACAGGTGTTTAAACTCTGCTTACATTCTATTTTAAGCACCAAAACCAGCTCTCTAAATTTAGTGTCAAGGTACACAAACTGGGAAGCCAGTTTCCCTCAGCTCCTCATGTAGAAAAGAGACGACACCTCCAGAGGGTATTTTTCATCGTAAGAACTCCTACTTAATTACCAGCCAAATACAGATGAAAACCAAATATCACAAACTTTTGCTTTGCAATTTATTTATTAAGAATAATCATATAAAAGTGACCAAAAATGGGATAATAATATTTAAACATTTTGAAGAAAAACAAAAAAGGGAAGTCAGAAAAAAAATCACCTAATAATTGGGAAGGAATTTTCATTTCTCATCCTTCAACATGCCATATGAAACAGTAAGCTAAAGTAGTGAAAATAAGTACTGGATGCAATTACAGCTTCAGTATCCATCTTTCTTGTCTTCAGTCTATTCGAAGCACTACATGCCTGTGTATTACAGGTAGTTAAGTGCATATTCCTTAGTACAGGGACAAATCCAGCTAGAGAAGGAAAAGAATAAATGAAAGAAAAAAGAAAAAAAAGCCAAACCAACCAATCAAACAATCCAAATAACACAGCTTTTAGTCTTCAGTGAAGTATGACTCCAGTCCCTCGAGTTCTGCATCAGCTGTTATGTTTGAAGTGGTGGAAGTAGAATTCGAATTCATGCTTTCCTGACTATTAGTTTTTTGTTGAGAGTTTCCTGAGTTACTTAGTTCCTTTTTCAGCTCTCTGCCACCACTTAACAGCTTTTGACTCTCCGTAAAATACTGATTGGGATGATTCAAAGAAAACCCGATGTCATCAACCTGCATATAAAAGGAAAGGAACACTGAGTTACGTTTATTTTAAAGAATCATCTTTTCCACATTCAAGAACAAATTAATTAGTAACTAGTTCTGAATTCAAAGAAAAAGGCATCAGTTTTTATATACCATCCCAGTAAATATTAGCATGACACAGATTTACTTCCATCACAAAACTTCTTCCTTCGTGTTAGAAATAAAATGACGGCTTTGGCATATACCAACAATATTTCACGCTGTCTTTGCTGTAGAAAAGAAAAATAACACTCCAAAACATATAAAACAATATAAGTAAAATGGCATACCTTTACCGATGTAGTAGGACAATTGAACCTACACCTTAAACCATCATTTCCCTACTTAAAAGAAGGACTGAGACAAGTCTAGAGTGCAAATGGCAGTAAAGAATACTACTGAAAGTTGTAAGGGCTGCACAATATAAATCTAGATTTGAAGTATTAGTGTGAAATTGTGAACAGAAACAAGTACCTTCACCTCTTTC